GAGGAGGAGGAGGAGGAGGAAGAGGAAGGAAGAATGAGAAGGAGGAGCAGGAGGAGGAGGAAGAGGAAAGGAAGGAAAGAAAGAAAGAAAGAAAGAGAAAGAAAGAAAGAGAAAGAGAGAAAGTAAGAGAAAGAAAGAAAGAGGGAGGATGGGAAGGGGTGGGAAGGGGAAACAAAGGAGGAGGCTACAATGTAATCCTAGCTACTCAGGAGGCTGAGATCTGAGGATCAAGGTTCCAAGCCAGCCCAAGCAAGGAAAGTCTGTGAGACTCTTACCTCCAATGAACCACCAGGAAACTGGAAGTGGCGCTGTGGCCCAAGTGGAGAGCACTCGCCTTGATCTGAAGAGCTGAGGGACAGCGCCCAGGCTCAGAGTTCAGGCCCCATGACTGGACCCAAAAAAAAAAAAAAAAGAAATGTACTCATTATCTTGCCCATGTAATTGTAACCCCTCTGTACAGTATTTTCACAAGAAAGAAAGAAAGAGCGAGAAAGAGAGGAAGAAAGAAAGAAAGAAAAGATGACAACTGAACCTCCATTCTTCAGAGGCCCTGAGCTGAAACTATGGAAGCAGGAAGAGTAATTTGGATCATAACATGTTCTGGGATTACTCCAGGAAGTGAGAGCTGATGGGAGGGGCAGAGATTTGGGCCAGATGAGAGAGCAGAGGGTGAGGATCCTCTTGTCTAAGAACCATTGCACCAGAGGAGGCCAAACAAGTAAAGTAGATTCTATTCAAGATTATTGTCATAAGACAGGGAGACTAAACTCAACTCCCTGGGAACCACCCTTAGGAGGGTCTTTCACTAGTGGAAAGTACGGGGTGGGGGATGGGTAATAGGAAAGGGTGGCCCACAAAACGTATCCTGAGAGGCCAAAGTTTATCTCTCTGATAAGGCCACTGTGTCAGTTCCTGCTTGCTTATCCAAGTTAAGCTGTTACCTCCCACCATGTCTGGCGATTCTATCACCAAAGACTTGGCTCCCCAGTCCTGGAGAAAGGTTGAAAAGAAAGCTAGCTAGAGGACTGCAGATAAGTCTCTCCATTTCCAAGGGGTGGAGAAAGAAAAGACAAAGTCAAGTTTTCTCAAATGAGGGTTGTATGGGTCTGTGTTCTGTTATGGAGACTGAATCTATAGTCATTATATAGATCATTTATAAAGAATAAATGTATCCGGGTGCCAGTGGCTCATGCCTGTCATCCTAGCTACTCAGGAGGCTGAGATCTGAGGATCATGGTAAAGTCAGCCAAGGCAAGAAAGTCCATGAGATTCTTTATCTCCAATGAACCACCACAAAACCAGAAGTGGTGCTGTGATTCAAGTGGTAGAGCGCTAGCCTTGAGCTGAAGAACTCAGGGACAGTGCCCAGGCCCAGGGTTCAAGCCCCACAACCAACAAAAACAAAAAACCTGAAGTGGTAGAGCATTAACCTTGAGCACAGAGAGATTCAGAGACAGTGCCCAGGCCCTGAGTTCAAGCCCCACCACTGGTGGGGGGGGGGGAGTCTCACGGACTTTTCTGCCTGGGCTGGCTTCAAACTTTGATCCTTAGAACTCAGCCTCCTGAGTAGCTAGGTGTGAGACACTGGTGCTGAGCTCTAGCCCTCCTTTGACTGGTTAATTTTGAGATAGGCTCTCACTTCCTAGTGCATGCCTAGACTGTGATCCACCTATATTTTAGGCTTCCTTTTTTTTAGCTAAAATGGCAGGCATGAACTATTATACCCAGCTGAGGGTTGGGGGCAGAGCTGGGAGAGGGGAATGGCACTCACATGTAAGCTCAGGCTGGCCTCAAACCACAATTCCACCAATCTCAGCCTCCCAAGTAGTGAAGATTACTAGTGTGAGCCTCTGGCACGGAGCTTCGCTGTACCTTTTCTGTGTTCATCCTGCCTCAGCCTCCCAAGTGCGCAGATCGGGGCTGGGAAGGTGGCTCAGTGGTAGAGCGCTTGCCTTGCATGCTCAAGGCCCTGGGTTCGATTCCTCAGCACTACATAAGAAAAAAGCCAGAAGTGGTGCTGTGGCTCAAGTGGTAGAGTGCTAGCCTTGAGCTGAAGAGCTGAGGGACAGCGCCCAGGTCCAGAGTTCAGGCCCCACTACCGGACCCCCCAAAAAAGAAAGTAATACCAAGTGCGTGGATCACAGGCATGCGCCACTGTGCCTAGCTTCCTGCGGCGCCTTAAGATGACAGAGGGTAGCCAGTGGCTCACACCTCTCATCCTAGCTACTCAGGAAGCTGTGATCTGAGGATGGCAGTTCAAAGCCAGCCAGGACAGGAAAGTCTGTGAGACTCTTATCTCCAGTGAACCACCAGAAAACCAGAAGTGGCACTGTAGCTCAAATGGTAGAGTGCTAGCCTTGAGCTGAAAAGCTCAGGGACCAGGGACAGCACCCAGGCCCAGAGTTCAAGCCCCACGACTGACCCAAAAAAAAAAAAAAAAAAAAGATGGTGGAGTTCATCAGGCGTGAGACAAAGCAAGTATTCTAGCTCAGCTTTCTTCTCCTAAAGCCACTAATTCCATGCTGCGGGCCCCATCCTGAGGACCTCATCTCATCCTAATTACCCTCCCAAGGTGTCACCTTCTAAAGACCAGCCATATATTGATGGGGGGGGTCATGTTTCCAAATTAAGAACTTTGGGGGGAGAGGGAGACATTTTCAAACCCTAGCAGTCCTCTGAGAAATTGGAGGCCAAGAGGCCTACAATCAAGGAGAAAACTGTGCAAAACACATTCCACTTCAGAGGACCCTTAGTCTCGGCTGGTATGATGACTACATCCTGCCCACGTGTGTGGGTCATGACCCCCAGATCTCTGCACGTGCTCAGGGCTCTTCCTGCCCTGTAATAGGAGAGTGAGTCTGACTCCAAGCAGCAGATGACCCAGCTCAAGAGTCTGAGCCTCCCCAATCTACCTGTGTGTGTCAGGGAGGGTCAGGGCGATTCCTCCAGCTGTCTGTCCTGTCTCCTACCTCTCCTCCACATTTGCTTCCATCCTCTTTGCATCCCGTGTGTACGACACAATGTTTTGTTTATTCTATTGCACACAGGGGTGGGGTGGGGTGGCTCGGTGGTAGAGCAGAGGGTTCCCGGCATTCTACCCTACTACCACAAAATAATGATAATAATAATTTCACATATGACTACTTGCCTACATGTAAGCAGTCTATAAAACGTTTTAAAGATTTTCTTTGTGTGTGAGCTGGGTGCTTGTGGCTCACAGCAGTCATCCTAGCTACTCAAGAGGCTGAGATCTGGGCTGGGCAGGTAGCTCAGTGGTAGAGCACTTGCCTTGCATGCATGAGGCACTGGGTTCAATTCCTCAGCACCACATAAACAGAAAAAGCTGGAAGTGGCGCTGTGGCTCAAATGGGAGAGCGCTCGCCTTGAGCTGAAGAGCTGAGGGACAGTGCCCAGACCCAGAGTTCAGGCTCCATGACCAGCAAAAAAAAAAAAAAAAAAGAGGCTGAGATCTGAGTATCAATGATCACAGCCAGCCCTGGCAGGAAAGGGCACAAGACTCTTTATCAACTATGAGCCACCGTAAGTGGCGCTGTGGCTCAAATGGTAGAGTGCTAGCCTTGAGCTGAAGAGCTGAGGGACAGTGCCCAGGCCCAGAGTTCAAGCCCCACAACAACCAACAAAATAAATTGATAAATAAATGAATGAAAGATCTTTTGTATAAGTAAGCATGGCTCCAAGCTCATCCCAAGCCGCCATCTCAACCTTGTTAGAGCAGAACCAGAAATGGCAGTGCTGCGCACCCTACCACCCTTAGCTCTGTCTCAAGCACCCATGAAGGGCTGGGAGTGCCTAGAAGCCCCACTGTAGCTGTCAGCCATCCTCCTCTGCCTCAGACAGCAACCACAGGGCTGTCAAATCCTTATCAGTGTTAAGTCTGTGCACAGATACAGCAAGCAATAGTTTGTTTACTTAATAAATACTTAGGAACTTTCACAAGATGTGTGGGCATCCCCTGTCTACCACAGGACCCCCTTTCCCTCTTGGTTTGTACAAATCCAATCATGTGTAGTCCTCTCTCTCTCTCTCTCTCTCTCTCTCTTCTTGCTGGTCCTGAGCTTGAACTTAGGGCCTAGGCACTGTCCCTAAGCCTCTCTGTGCTCAAGGCTAGCGCGCTTACCACTTGAGCCACAGCACCACTTCTGGATTTTTCTGAGTAGTTTATTGGAGATAGTCTCGTGGACTATTCTGCCAAGGCTGGCTTTGAACCATGATCCTCAGATCTCAGCTTCCTGAGTAGTTAAGATTACAGGTGTGAGCCACCAGTATCCATCCTTCTCTCTCTCTGTTAATTTATTCATTCATCTATCTATTCAGGCATTCATTCATCCACCCATCTACCCATCCATTCATCTATTCATCTACCCATTCATTCATCCATCTACCCATTCATTCATGCATCCATCCACCACCCATCCATTTATCCATTTACCCATGGCTCATTTGTTCATCCATTCATTGGGGACATTCTAGGATGTCCCCAAGAGGACACAGGTGGGGTCTCTGAGGCTGTAGATGAGTTGCAGAGCGAGGAGTCCTTGGTCCTGGAAGGCTGGGGGGTGGGAGGGGGTTGATGGGTGGCTTAGTCTACAGATATGGCCCCAAGATTGGGAGCTGTGTGTGTGTGTCAATGTGGGTGCTGTATGTTGGGGTGAAGAAGGTGAAGACACACAGACAAGCCCACTTGACACCAGAACAGAAGGTGGGGCGAAGGACAGAGGCCAGGAAACACAATGTCACCAAGCTGAAGGGTTACAGGTCTGCATCCCGGGAGGGCAGGCCCCCACGCCCTCCTCCTTCCAGGCCCAAAACTCACGGGGCCCCATCCCAATTACCTAGGAGGGGACCAACCCACCCGGGCCAGGGCGGGGCGGAGGAATCCGGATGCCTAGGGATCTTCAGGGAGAACCAGCCAGACAGCAAGCCAGAGCTTCAGGGGCTGCCGACAGAGAGGGAGTTGCAGCTCAGTGCTACTCATCGCCATGGGGCTCCCCGGACGCATCCTGCTCTTCCTTTTAGGAACTGTCCTCTGCCTGCCAGGTACCTGACCTTCTAGTCTGACAGGAAGAGGATGAGGGGCCTGGACCCCTGGGTCTGAGGGAGGAGGCTGGGGTCTGGACCCCTGGATCTGAGGGAGGAGGCTGGGGTCTGGAGTTCTGGATCTGATGGAGGAGGTCTGGGGCCTGATATTCTGGGTCTGAGGGAGGAGGTCTGGGGCCTGGACCCCTGGGTCTGAGGGAGGAGGTCTGGGGCCTGGAGTTCTAGGTCTGAGGGAGGAGGTTGTGGAGACAGTCCACCTCCTTTCTCTTCCTCTGCTCCATTCTTCTATCATCATTCACTCTTTCTGGCCACTGCCTCCTCCTTCCTCTTGCCTGAGGATATTTCTGGGAGTCATGGGGGCCATTTTCCAAGCTGGCAGGGTTTGCCTTCCTCCCAGCTCCCCCCAGCCCCCCATGGTCTCAGTGGAAGAGGCCCCAGGGCCCTAGAGCGGTGGCAAGGCGGCTGCTCCTGAGTGAGAACTGTGCGCATGCGCTCACCTGTGGCCAGCTTGGGCTCTGTGGGCCCCTGGGCCATGTTTCTATATCAGGGCCCTTTCAAAAGTGAATTTGAGGGTCTGTTCATCTTGAAACTCTAAATGAATGGGTGCACAGTTCCACTGGTCTATGTTTCATGAGATGGAGACCTGTATTTAAGTCTGTGTGTGTTTTCATGGTGTGTGTGTGTGTGTGTGTGTGTGTGTGTGTGTGTGTGTGTGTACCAGTACTGGGGCTCGAACTCAGGGTCTGGGCACTGTCCCATAGTTGTTGTTGTTGTTGTTTTCTTTCTCTCAATGTTGGTGCTCTACCACTTGAGCATTACCTCTACTTCTGGCTTTTCAGTGGTTCATTGGAAATTAGTCTCATGGTCTTTCTTACCCAGACTGGCTTTGAACCTCAATCCTCACATCTCAGCCTCCCGAGTAGCGAGGACGACAGGCGTGAGCCACCCATGCCTGGCTGTCCTCTATGATTTGAAACTGAACTGTCATGGCTTGGATTTTGGTGATTTTGTAACAATGATGTGTTCTGTGATGCGTGTGGTTCACGAGTGATTCATGTGTGTCGTTTCTCTGGGTTTCCTGGGTTTCAGATCCCTCTGTGTGTCACTGCTGTCACCCATGTCAAATCGCAGTGGCAGCCACACACCTGGGTGTCCACAGGACAGCCATGTGGGTTCACAAGGCTCAGTTGTGTCCTTCCCTGTGGGATGTGCATGGCCCTGTGTTCAAGCGTGGTGTGCATGTGTGGCCGGCCCGGCTGCGTGTGCAGGCTGTGGTGGGCTGTCTGTCTCCCACAGGTGTGCCTCCTCCGTGGAGCTGGGGAGGGGTGGGAAGCTCACTCATGAGTCACTTCTTTATCTAAATCACCTGGACGAGGAGGAGTTTGGGAACAGTCAGGAGGGAAAAACTGGACAAGCAGCCCCACCATGACACAGCCCCTGGCTCAGCTGGGATGGGCCACAGTCACAGGCCCTGGGCAGAGGATCCAGTCATGTGGCACCCTGAAGTCCTCGGCCAGGCTCTCCCCTGCTCCCCTGACCCAGCCCTTCTCCTTCCTAGGGTCCCAAGCTTTGCAATGCTACAGCTTTGAGCACACCTACTTTGGGCCCTTCGACCTCAGCGCCAAGAGTCTTCCCAACGTGTCCTGCGCCCAGGGCTGCTCCGAGGTGCTGCTATCACTGGACACTGGTGAGGAGTTGGGAGGGTGAGAAGAGGGAGGGGAGGGGAGGGGAGGAGAGAGCCAGGGCTGAGAAATTGGGGAGGAGCTGGGCACTGGTGGCTCACGCCTGTAATCCTAGCTACTCAGGAGGCTGAGATCTGAGGATCAAGGTTCCAAGCCAGCCCAAGCAAGGAAAGTCTGTGAGACTCTTACCTCCAATGAACCACCAGGAAACTGGAAGTGGCGCTGTGGCTCAAGTGGTAGAGTGCTCGCCTTGAGCTGAAGAGCTGAGGGATAGTGCCCAGACCCAGAGTTCAAGACCCATGCCTGACAAAAAAGAAAAGAAATTGGGGATGAGAGGAACGGTAGGGAAGGATAGAGAGAATGGGAGGAGAATTTGCTACAAGAGGACAGAAGGGATAAGGGAGGAGAGAGGGAAGGGGGAAGAGAAAGGAAAGAGGAGAGAGGGAAAGAGGAAGAGGATGCAAGACAGAAAAGCCGATGGGAGGGAGACAGGCCTGGAGCTGAGGGCTGGAGGAGGAGGGAGGGAGAAGAGGTGGGTGACAGCAGAGGGGAGAAGAAAAGAGAGGTGACAACAGAGGCTCCCCCTCCTCCCCTCTTCTCTTCCTGCCCTCTTTCTCTCCTCCTCCTCTCTTCCTCTCCTCCCCCTTCCCTCCTCATCTTCTCTTCCCATCCTCCCCCTCCTCTCCTCTGCCCCTCCCCTCTTCCTCTCCACCCCTCCTCTCTCCTCTGCCCCTCCTCCCCTCGTCCTCTCTTCCCTCCCCTCTGCCTGTCCTCCCCTTCCTCCCACCTCCTCCTCCTCCTCCCCTCCACTCCTCCCTTCTTACCGCAGGGTACCGGGCAACGGTGACCATGGTGAGGAAAGGCTGCTGGACGGGCCCCACCACAGGCGCCATGCAGACCAACCAGAACGCGCTGCCGCCGGACTACGCGGTGGTCCGCGGCTGCTCCACCGACTTCTGCAACGTGGACCTCAGGACCCACGACAGCCTCCCCAACCTGAGCCACGGTGGGCGTGGCCGGGGGCGTGGCCGGCGGGGCAGGAGGGGCGGGGCGGCAGAGGCGGGGCCTAGTGATAGGTGAATGGGCCCGCGGGGCAAGAGGGATGGGCGGGGCCTGTTGTGGGCGGAGCGTGCCTCACGTCGTGTGGGCGTGGTCTCGCGGTGGGCGGAGCCTCGCCAGCACCTTCCTCCCGCACCGGGCCGGGCCGGGGCGTTCAGTGCGCGCCTCCCGGGCCTGACGGGGCCTCTGCCCTCTGGCCAGCGCCGGACCCGCCCCGGCTCAGCGGCACCGAGTGCTACGCCTGCGTGGGGGTGAACCCCGAGGACTGCGCCCCCGAAAAGTCCCGACGAGTCCAGTGTCACCAGGACCAGAGCTCCTGCTTCCAGGGCAGCGGCCGGATGAACATCGGTGAGGGACTGGAAGGGTGGACGGGGCGGGCAGGGCAGGCGGAGGGCGGAGCACCGCCCGCGGCGGGGGGAGGCCGGGCCCTGGTCCGACCCCTCCCGCCCCTGCCCACCGCAGGCAACTTCTCGGTGCCCGTGTACATCCGGACGTGCCACCGGCCGGCCTGCACCACCATGGGCACCACCAGCCCCTGGACGTCCATCGACCTCCAGGGCTCCTGCTGCCAGGGGCGTCTGTGCAACGCGGGCTCCATGGCCCAGCCCTTCCACTCGGCCGCCCCGCCGCGGGCGCCCCACGGCCTGGCCCTGCTCCTCGCCGCCCCCGTGCTGGCCCTCGCTATGGCGGGACCCCTGCGGCTCATGGTTTAGACGGCTCCCCCCACACACACACCAGGGTGCTGGGGGCAGAGTCCCCCGCACCCCCTTTCTCCTCGCTTCGATCATCTGTTCACTGGGGGGGAGGGGATGGTCCAGGAGTGGCCATGACCCCCACCCCTCCCCCTCCTTCCCCACTGTCCCCTGCTTAAGCCGGGGAGAGGGAGAAAGGGCCACACCCTGCCCCCCCTCCCCCAGCTCCCCAGCTGGGGAGCAAGAGAAAAGCGCTTCAGGGTGGGGACGCTTCTTTCTTATCCAAACCACAACAGCCACAGTGAACACCTCAGTTTCAGCATCAGCCTGCTGCAGAGCCTGCATCCATCCTAGGAGCCAACAATTCCACACCCTACTGGAACTAACTCACCATCCCCCCAAAACACATGGACTATACAGGGTCCCTAGCAGGACCGTCTATAACAGGCATCAAGTAGAAACAAGCTTATATCTATCCCCATGAGCAATCAAACACACAAAGTGATTGTGGCCCACGCACCTGATGGAATAGTATACAGCGACCAAAAATGAGCCATCCACGGCAACATGCAACAGCACAGACAAACCTCAGCACAGAGGGTTGAGGATAATAACAGGCACCCACGAGAACATGTTACACTAATCCATTTGAGCAAAGTATGAAAGGGTTTTTGTATAAAAATGACAGAAATGTGGGGCCAGGCGAGGTGGTGCACACCTATAATCCCAGCTATTCAGAAGGCAGAAACATAGGTAGACAATGGGCCAAAGCCAGCACAGAAAGAAAGAAGAAAGAAAGAAAGAAAGAGAGAAAAGTAGTGAGACCCTAACTCAAAGAATAAGCCAGGTTGGGTTGGCACAATTACCTGGTGGGTGGAAGTAGGAAGACTGAGGTCTGAGGCTGGTCCCTGTTTGAAAAAAAAAAGTATGAAAAATAAACTAAAGCAAAAAGGACTGGTGACATGGCTCAAATGGTAGAACGCCCACCTGGCTGGTGGAAAGATCTAAGTTCAAGTCCTAGTACCACAAAAAAGAATGTAGGGGCTGGGAAGGTGGCTCAATGGTAGAGCGCTTGCCTTGCATGCCTGAGGCCCTGGGTTCGATTCCTCAGCACCACATAAGCAAAAAGAAAAAAGCCGGAAGTGGCGCTGTGGCTCAAGTGGTAGAGCGCTAGCCTTGAGCTGAAGAGCTGAGGGACAGCGCCCAGGCCCAGAGTTCAGGCCCCACAACCGGACCCAAAAAAAAAAAAAAGAGGAGATGGGGAATACATGTGTATGTGTGTGGAAGTGTCACAATGAACCCTCTCTTTACAACTAAAGTATGAAGAAGGGAGGGAGGGAGGGAGGGAGGGAAGGAGGGAGGGAGGGAGGAAAAGGAGATGAATCTAGTCTGAGAGAAGAGGCATGGAGGCTTGGTCTGTGGGAGGAGGCATGGGTCATCTTGATAGAAATGATCTTTGGAGACTGATGGCTGGAAGCGGGAAGGGGTTCTGGGGGTTCACACACAGTTACTTGGTCTCAGAACTTGGTGATGTTTACTTATGACTGTTGCCCTTTTTCACACACACGTTCAGTGTTTTCAATCAAAGAGATTTTTTTTTTTTTGGTCGGTCGTGGGGCTTGAACTCTGGGCCTGGGCACTGTCCCTCAGCTCTTCAGCTCAAGGCGAGCGCTCTACCACTTGAGCTACAGTGCCACTTCCGGTTTTCTGGTGGTTTATTGGAGATAGGAGTCTCATGGTCTCTCTTGCCCAGGCTGGCTTTGAACCTCGATCCTCAGATCTCAGCCTCCTGAGTAGCTAGGATTACAGGTGTGAGCCACCAGCGCCCGGCTCAAAGAGATTTTTTAAAGTTTTCTTGGTGCCACCAGGCACCGGTGGCTCACGCCTGTCATCCTAGCTACTCAGAAGACTGAGATCTGAGATTCGTGGTTTAAAGCCAGCCCAGGTAGGAAAGTTCATGAGACATTTATCTCCAATAAACCACTCAAAACCACAGAAGTTGTGCTGTGGCTCAAGTGGTAGCACTAGCCGTGAGCTGAAGAGCTGAGGGACAGTACCCAGGCCCAAAGTTCAAGCCCCACAACTGACCAAAAAAAAACTGGGAGTGGAGGTGTGGTTCAAATGGTAGAGTGTCAGCCTTGAAGGAAAAAGCTCAGGATCAGCACCCAGGCCTCAAGTTCAAACCCACATACTAGCATACACACACACACACACACGCACGCACGCGCACGCGCGCGCGCACACACACACACACAGAGTATGTGTGTGTATATGGAAATTGACAGGCCAGATACCCACTGAGCTCACGGAGGCCCCACCCCCCCTTGGGCACACAGGTGCCATCTTTCCTCAGCAGTGATCACAACCCACTGCCTGTACCCAACAGCAGACGCTGTCCATCCACAGGATCCTCAGGCCCTCCCTAGACCAACAGAGTGGAAGCCTCGGTCAGCACCAAGGACAGGTCTCAAAACAGAGCCAGGCCTCCTGCAGTGGGGAAGGAGAAAGGAGGGGGGAGGGGGGAGACAGGGAAGGAGAGGGAGGAGGAAGAGGAGGGCGAGTAGGAGAAAAGAGACCTGCACAGATTAACTGAGAAAGACTCAGAGGCAAATCGAAGCAAAATGACAGACTGCAATTTACAGAGCAACATTTCCATGATTGATTCACATACCTGAGGACATCTGATTGTGGAAAACATGGAGCCTACGAAAGATTGCAGGAGTATAATAGCAGCAGCAGCTGCTTCTGCTTCTTCTTCTTCTTCCTCCTCCTCCTCCTCCTCCTCCTCCTCCTCCAAAGTATTCTATCTGAAAAAGATTTGAATACATATTTTTTCTCAAAATTCTCATAGCTGGTCAGCCTTTGAGTGACTCACCCCTGTCATCCTAGCTACTCAGGAGAATGAGATCTAAGGATCATGGTTCAAAGCCAGCTCAGGCAGGAAAATCAGTGAGACCCTTATCTCCAATAAACCACCAGAAAACTGGAAGTGGAGCTGTGGCTCAAAGGGGTAGAGTGCAAAAGCTCAGGGACAGTGCCCAGGCCCTGAGTTCAGGCTCCACAACTGATAAGAAAATAAAGACGAAAATAAATTTAAAAAAAAAAAAGAAGAAAGGAAAAGGAGAAGGGACTGAGGCCCACAGTGGGAAATGAAGACCAGGAGACATAAAGGCTGAGATAGTGACTTCGAAACAGACTGAAAACGAGATCTTCAGGTTGACAAAAGCACACGGTCTGTGTCCCTTGGTCTGGAAGTGACAGGACACATAGACAAGAGATGTTCCCTCTGTTCATTGCTCTGTCCCCAGTTCTCAGATCAGGGGTCTGCACCACCAGGAGCTCGCTCCCATGGGGAGATTACAGTGGTGACCATAACAGGGAAGCAGAGGGCCTGCAGTTCTCCACAGTGGCCACCAGGTGGCAGTGTCCTCCCGAGCGACTCCCAGGCTTGGCCACCAGGAGACCATGGTTGCTGGCTTTGCCCTGATTTTCAGGATTTCCCAGCGCCCAGGCCCCGGGGCGACGAGTGACCTTTCCGCCTGAGACACCCTCTTCTTCCTTCCCTTCACCACCAGGCCCAGTTCAACAACCCTTTGTCCTTGGCCCTTTCCGGCTGTGCCCTCCTTGGGTACCTGGGTCCCTTCCAGGCCCGGAGACAGGGCCTGGGACCGGGCCAAGGGAAAGGTTTGGAACCTTCTTCCCTGTTCCCAGGGCTGAAGCAGAATGGCAGGATCCAGTGCTACCTGCACCCAGGAATCCAGACCCCAGTCCTCCCTCAGACCCAGGGGGAACAGTCCCAACCTCCTCCCTCAGACCTCCATCTCCTGGCCTCTCTTCTTCTGCACCAAGATTACCCCCCCCCTTCTGACAGAGACCCCCTCTCTCTCTCCACTCTGTGTTCCAGGGTTGAGGCTAAGGCTGAGTCACAGGAAGTTCTGGGGCCCTGAGTCACCCCCAAACCCAGCTCAGCCCCTCCCTGCACTGGGGGGAGTGGGCAGCGGAGAGATTTCCTACAGCCAACCCCAGTGTCAGAGTTTCAAACTAGAGGTAAGAGCTAGGCACAGGTGGCTCATGGCTGTAATCCTAGCTACTCAGGAGGCTGAGATCTGAGGATCACAGTTCAAAGCCAGCCCAGGCAGGAAAATCTATGAGACTCTAATTCCAATGAACCAGCAAAAAGCTGGAAGTGGGGCTGTGACTCAAGTGGTAGAGTGCCAGCCTTAAGCACAAAAGCTCAGGGATAAGCCAGGCACTGGTGGATCACACATGCCCTCCTAGCTACTCAGGAGGCTGAAATCTGAGGACTGAAGTTCGAAGCCAGCCTGGGCAGGAAAGTCCATGAGACTCTGATCTCCAATGAGTCATCAGAAAACTGGAAGTGACGCTGGAGCTCAAAGCAGTAGAGTGCTCGCCTTGAGCAAAAAGAGCTCAAGGGACAGCGCCCCAGGCCCTGAGTTCAAGTCCTAGTAACAGCTCAGAGAAGATGGAGACAATCAAAGAGACACAGAGGCTAAGAGGCAGAGACGAGGGATGGGGGGAGAGAGAGAAAAAAGAGAGAGGAGGGAAAGCAGTGGAGACAGAGGTGGAGACAAAACCACAGGCCTCAGGGCTGGGCATGGAGGAGGAGAAAGAGGAGGAAGAGGAGGGGGAGGAGGGGGAGGCATCGGCCCACAGTGCCTGGGGCAGCACTTTCTCTGGGGTGACCCACGTGTGGTGTGGGCGCGCCAGGGCGTGTCCCCATGTGGGGATGACGGGTCGGGGCACCCCCTCCCCACACGGGCTGTGTTTCTGTCACTGGGCGTGTCTGTGTGTGTGGTTTGGTTCTCTGGGTGTTGCCAGGACTGCGTATCCCAGAGTGTGTCACGTCCTGTGGCTGGCATGTGCGGTGCTGTCTGCGTCTCTCGCGGTGTCTCACAGTGGCCGCGTGGCTGCTTGAGGGGTCACGGCCACGAGTGGTCACCTGCGCAGATCTGCGTGTCCCCTCCGGGCGCCGTCCCTTCTTTCCTGGATCACAGTCACCAAATGCAGGGCTTGAACTCGGGGCCTGGGCGCTGTCCCTTGAGCTTTGTCACTCGAGGCTGGCGCTCTGCCCACGTGAGCCTCAGCCCCACTTCTGGCTTTTTACTGGTTCATCAGAGTCCCACAGACTTTCCTGCCCGGGCTGGCTTTGAACCTCGATCTTCAGATCTCAGCCTCCTGAGTAGCTGGGATTCCAGGCGTGAGCCTCGAGGGCTGTCGGCTCAGGATGTGTTTGAATGAGGACACTCCCACTGTGTGGGGACCACAGTCGCTCCCGTGGGGAGGGAGGGGTGCGGAGGCTGTTACCTGGTGTGGTGTGTCACTGGTGTGTGTCTGATCGCGTGTGTGACACACGTTGGCGTGGCCTCCCGGTCAGCGCTGTGAGGGAAGAGGCGCTTGTGTGTGGCCGGGTCGGGGTGGGCGCGTGTGTCCTGCAGCCTGCGGGTGGTGTAGACGTGTGTCTCATGTGTGTGTGTCCGGGTGTGGCATGGGGGGGGTGAGTCACCGTGGGCCCCCGCGTGTCCCCTCCGCTGGGACCCTGTGACTGCCACCACGTGTGTGAGTGGCCGGCTCTTCCCTGCTCTGCCCCGGACACGCCCAGCGCTTCCTTGGCCTGGGGTGGGGAGGTTTGGGGGAGCCTCCCGTCCCTGCCCTCCCTCTGCCCTCCCCGCCCCTCCCCGCCCTCCCCGCGGGCCGCCACCCCTCCCCCCGGAGGGCACCGGCCTGGGAGCGCTCACCGGGCTGCCTGCTACCAAACTGGCTGCTATTTGCGTGCTGAGAGGTGGGGGGCCCTGGGCAGGAAGCTGGCTGAGCCCCAAGACCTCGGGGGCCATGGGCGGGGAGCCGATGGCCGGCCTGGGGGCCCTGCGGCGTCGCAAGTGGCTTCTGGAGCAGGAGAAGCTGCTGGCGGGCTGGGCGCTGGCGCTGGCCGCGCTGGGAGTGGCGCTCATGGTGCTGCACGCCGAGATGCTGTGGTTTGGGGGCTGCCTGGTGAGTGGGGGGCAGGGGCCGGGGGGAGGGGTCGCACCCCGGGGCTGAGGGAGGAGGCTGAGGTGTGGACCGCTGAGTCTGAGGGAAGAGGCTGAGGTCTGAACCCTTGGGTCTGAGGGAGGAGGCTGAGGTCTGAACCCCTGGGTCTGAGGGAGGAGGCTGAGGTCTGAACCCCTGTGTCTGAGGGAAGAGGCTGTGCTTGGACCTCTGTGTCTGAGGGAAGAGGCTGAGGTCTGAATCTCTGTGTCTGAGGGAAGAGGCTGTGCTTGGACCCCTGTGTCTGAGGGAGGAAGCTGTTGTCTGGATCCCTGGGTCTGAGGGAGAAGGGCTAAGGTCTGCACCCCTGGGTCTGAGGGAGGAGGCTGGGCTGTGCTTGGACCCCTGGGTCTGAGGGAGGAGGCTGGGCCTGGCCGGCATGGTAGTGGTGGCAGCGGGAGTTTGGGGCCGGGCTGCACCTGTGCGTCGGCTGGCTGCGCCACCGTGGCGGGTGTCGGGTGTGGCAGAGCCGAGGGGGGAGAACCCTTGTATTCAAAGAGGGTGAGAGATGGGGGGACCTGGTGCCCCTCACTTCCTCCCTGTGGAGCCTCAGTTTCCCCTGGAGTGCAGCTGTGGCAGTGGTGTCTAGGTCTCGGGGAGGGGGCTGGACTCCGAGGTGGATGGAGGAGGCTGGGGGGGGGGAATGGCCAACTTGGAGGCCAGTGGGGTGGGTGGAGCAGGGACAGGTCCCCGCAGGCCTCTGGAACATTCCAGCCCCTGGTAAGGGCAGTAAGGGAGGAGGGTGGAGGACTTGGGGTCCCCTGGGTGGTTTGAGGGGGAACAAGGGAGGGAGGGGCTTGTAGGTCTGGAGGGGGGATGGGCAAGGGTCCCCCCGTGGGGCGCGGGGGTCAGCGCAGGGCAGCGGGCGGCT